ACTCAGTGGTCAGTCAGTTGATAATCAGCAGAGTGTCGATGGACTCACATGTATTGATTGTCACTCTATGATGTGTCTGCAAAAATTAGTTGACTCTTGACTGACTGTCAACTGAGATGTTGATCAAGTGTCCACTGAGTGTCAACACAGGTGTCAATCGAGTATCGATGGAGTGTTGATCGAAGTTATTGATCGACACTCGACTGCTGATGCCTTTAGCGCACATGATCCAAGTTTATTTCAACCTGTAATCATTTTATTCCTATTTGAATAACAATTTTTTTTGTTTTCCTGTTTATACTAGGTCTTTTTGGAATTGGAACAATGAGACTTTTTCAAGAACCTACCAAATCATCAGTTGAGCAAACCTCAAATCCGAGTACAAACCAAGACAACAGCTGATGAAGTGCTGGGGATGCTGACAGTCAACAAATAGACCAAGATATCATAACATCCAATAATAGCAGCTGATATTGCAAATAATTTGCAGTAATTATTTGCCGAACATCAAGATGTTCTTATAGCTCATGTTTATTAAAATTCAAAAGCATAAGGTGGACACCCCCTTCAAGTGGAAACTAATAATCTTAGCCTGCAAGCAGGGTTATGGTGGAGTCTCACATGTGCAGGAGCAGCAACAGCCAACCTCAATCCCAGACTATCTTTCCTTTGCCTCCCTTGTCATTGAGACAGGAGGCAAAGGAGAGAGAGCCTGGGATTGAGTTTGAGTTATAGCTCAGGGACGGTGGAGCCAGGGCAATTTTAAGCAAAAAATACATAAAATAATAATTTTACAAATATCTCCAGACCCCCAACAAGTTAGCACCTCTGGTGCTCGCTTGTAAGTCCCCCCAATTCAAAATACGCTCTGCCATCCCTGTAGGTAGACTGATTCAGCCGGGAAGTCAATTCAATTTTCTTTAGAAATAAAGCAACTGATTGTTACAAGTCATCGTTGTAGTTTATTGTAACAGCTGGAGATTGTAAAGCTTGACAGTGCAGCCAGCAGTCAAAAAGAAAATCATTGATAATTTCTCTGATATAATTTCTGGTCTGACTACATCTATACTAGCCTCCTACGCAGATGCTGTTTGGGATCATCATGCAATCATCCTTCCAATGAACACTCGTGGGGGAAGAAGATAATTTGCACAACAAGCCCAAAGAAGCCCATCTATGCTAACCCTCATGGACTATTTGTGAGTCTCCTGGATACAGACTGAATCTTCCACTCTCCTCTACAGATCATCAAATCATCAAAAATGATTTTTTTCACTATTTTTTACATTCCCAGATATCTGTATTTTTTTTAGTTGGTGGATATTTGTTTTTGGCATCTTTGAGTTTCCAAAAAATATCTGTTTAACAAGTTAATGTCAGTTTTTCATGTATCTGTCCTGTTATTGATCATGAATTTTGCCATAACATTGTCAAAGTAGCTGTGGATCCATGAGGCGACAGTCGAGTGGATCTGCAGATTACTTTGACAATGTTATAACAAAATTCATTGTCGATAACAGGACAGACGCATGAAAAACTTACATCAATTTTTTTTATGATAACAAATTGTCAAATTGTCCGCTCTGGCTCGTTGACGCATCCCATAAATTATGAATTCATGTGTCTGTCCACTTCTTAGCCAACGAGGGCGCAAGAATTTCTGCAGTTATCTCAAAAACCCACACCTCAGAGGATCAATCATTGTCTAATTTGAAGTTTTGTTTCTTCAAGGTGGAAAACATTTCCAATAGACCATTTTACAGATGTATGCTCAGTGACCTGGCCCATGAATAGCAGTGAGGCTGGAGGTGACCTTGTTTTGATACAGACCTCACTGCTTTTGTTGTGTAAATCAAGTTGTTCTTACGCTAACTAGTTGGCATTTAAATGAAAAAGCAGAGAGGTCTGTATCAAAGCAAGGTCACCTCTTGCCTCGCTTGCATTTAAAGGCCAGGTAACTAAGCACACAACTGTAAAATGGCCTATTGATTTTTTTGTTATTATAATCAAAATTACATAATTTTGATTAATATTTTCAACTAAAATTTCTTACACTAATATGGCAGTATAATAATAGTTATTATAACCAACCTGCTGGTATTTCTATGGTATTAAAAATTTTAACTGGAATTTCCAGAAGGTAGGCAGGAAAGAACGGTTCAAGTCAATATGAATGTTTTTGGAGCAAGATAAATTCTGTTTATTTTCTTTAAAAGATTCTCTGGCACACATCATGTTATTTCTAGGAGCCGAAGAGTGACGAGTGAAGGGAGAAAATTTGAGAAAATAAAAGTGTCATGTAAATTGTCTTTTCAGAGTTTGTACAATTTTAGAACAAGTTGTAATAATGTACTCAATCAGATCACCTGTTTCATGATTTGATCCCAATAAAAAATTTGCTTAATTTAATATTTTTGTCATCCGAATTTTCCTCTGGAGTCTACCAATCTTTTCAGGGGAGTCCCCTACTATCACGTGTACAGCAAGTGAGAATCGGTGGTGTGATTTAGGCATGCCCATATAAGGTGAGCCGACGTCCATACTCGACCAGACCAAGGCCCCACCCAGCCCTTGCAAGTAGCCGGTAGCACGCTACAAACATAACCTCCTTGGTAGCGCCAAAATCTGCGGTTACATTTGTTCAAAATGCTCAAATCACTGGGAGATCCTTATTTCGTGGCTAAATTCCAGCGTGCGTTTGGTCTTAGGGAGATTCGACTCGAGAAAGACATCGCTTCTTCTGTGCGTGACCACAAGGACTCCCTCTCGCCAGCGAGCAATGGGCATTTCCCTGATGGAGATCTCGCTCAAAGCAGCCATGTTCACACTGATTCTTCAAATCACGTCTTCCATCGCAATAGTTTCAACAAAGCTGAACCATTCGAGAAGATCAGATCACCAGGCGAAGAAAAACCCGAGCAGTTGTACGAGTTCAACAGCTTTTTCCACACTCTGTTCGTGTTCGGTTCAACGTTAGGCTACGAATCATTTTACCTCACTTTCTTTCCGTTCATGTTTTGGAACATCGACGAGTACCTGGCTCGCAGAACCGTCATTATGTGGGCTGTTATAATGTACATAGGTCAGGGTGCAAAGGATGTAATTCAATGGCCAAGACCGCCTTGTCCTCCCGTTATTTCTGTCGAAAAACGTTTCCAGGTGGAATACGGTATGCCGTCCACCCACGCCATGGTTGGGACACTAATTCCGTTTTGTTTGGTTTATTTCACGTATGACCGTTACCAGGTATGTTCGTATGTGTTCAGTTTGGTTTATTTAGCATTCGGTTCCTGTTAGCCGGAAGAATTGCTGTTTTCTGATAGTTCTGGCGGGTTATTTCTTCTCTGTTCATGTACAAGATTTTAGCAATGGCATCATTGTACAAGAGGGTCGTGACTAATCAATACAATGCAAGAGCTCACAGTGCAATGAATGGAACTTTTCAAATGCTCCTCTCTGATTGTATTGATACAATGTTGACATAAATTTTCTTTATTAATTTAGGGCAAGGTCCACCTAATATTGCGTTAGTTTTTCTGTTTCATTTAGCTCGGTCCATACACTAACTTCAGTAACTTGCCAAAGATATTGATACTAATCAGTACTAATATTCTAATAAAGGGCCGGCCAAATGCACGCAACATTTCATCCCAGGAGATTGCAGCATTGTTGAGAACGTTTCGCCACTCTGTTACACCATCTAACTTCTTGCAACATCTTGCAACAAGATGTCTAAAGCTGTGTAACATGTTGTGTGTAATAATAATAATAATTTGAAATGTTGCAATATTTTGTTTTGAAATTTTACTTGCATGCGTTTGGCCATGCCTTAGAATGGGCTAACAGGCTAATTCAGTAAAGCATTTATTTACTATGGGTGTTAAAATTCTGATGATAAAATGTCTTGATAGTTCTCAATGTAAGTGATTGCCAATATTGTACATTGAACATATACTGGTGTTTTGGGGGGTCACTGTTTTAAAAGCAATGGATTTTTGGCTTGTATAGTGTTTTTTAAAAAAGAAAGGAATTTTTAATGACTGAAATTAAGTTGGGAGTAGTTCATCGTATAACCTTTACTTTACTTACCTGTAGTAGTGTAGCACAAAGGCTAGTGGAGCCGAGCAAACAACTGAAACAAATAATTCAAATTGAACATAACATTTTTAAGACTCCTAACTGGCTGGGGACAAACCAGTTGGCTATTTACAAGTGCAGCCGAGGATTTGAACACGGGGATACCATGAAACAAATCCAGGTAGTGGTCAGAGCGGGACTTAAACCCGAGACTGCTGGATTACAAGTCCGACGCGCTGACCACTAAGCCATGCTGCCTCCTGCCAGTCCATACTGCAGATGTTGGACTCCCCAGAGAACCAATCAGAATTCTCTTATCCAGTTTGGACATGTTCGCCGTGGATTAAACACAGATTGCTCATTGGTTATTGGCAATTCTTCTCCAAACTTTACAACTGAATATACTCAACAATAAGATAATGTGCTCTCGATTTCTATTGCGAGATAGTTGACGAGGGTGTAGCATAGATAGTGAGTAGCATAGCCAATCAGAGAATGGCATTCGTGATAGAATGTTAGTAGATTTATTCAAGAAGTGAATATATGAAAGATCAGATTTTTGAACTGTGGAGAAAGTGATGAAAAAAATTCAGGCTTTAATTTCACAGCTGCTTTCATGTTCAATCATCTCTTCATTTAAACTGAATGTTGATCGGTCCACAGGGGTGGGTGAATGCTAATATGAAATACCTGACAGGGATGTTCACTGGAAAGTTTTAAAAACACATCGAAAAGGTTCCACAGTCCTTTGGCATTGGATCAAATAATTGTTTGACAACTGTTTCCTTAGACTGTTCACAGTCCCCTATTTTTCCGTGACATTGTAGATGTCGATCATTGAGTTTGATGGGCCGCCATCTTGGTCTCTTGATGCGAGCGAAACTGGGGAGAGTACAAAATGCCTGTGGGTAGTGGTGGTGGGTTTAATAGCATGGGGGTAACGGGGCGGAAAAAATAGGGAGACTGTAACAGCTTCCCTCTGTCTGGTGTTCGCTGCATTAGTTGCCTGATTGGTCGAAGGTACAATAGAGCTCATCAGAGCGTAGCAGAGCGTTGACAACTTGAATGACAGAAAGTGACATTCATCACCTTATGGCTCAGGCCAAAATGGTATCGATTTCAAGAGAATTTTCTGGAGTATGTTTTGATTTTGATTGTCTGTCTGCTTCTTGTCTTGGAGGATTGGTGTTAAAGTGCGAGCAAAAGGAGGCCGTTTCTCGTTTACTCAAAGGAAAAGATGTTTTGGCGGTTCTTCCAACTGGTTTTGGCAAGAGTTTAATATATCAAGGTTTCATTTTGGCAAAGGAAATGGCTGAAAGTTCCATTGGTTGTTCTTATTTGCGACTGAAATTTTACAGTTGATGCCACAAAGACGGCACGCATCTGAATAATTGGAATTCTCTGCAGGCATTGCTGCTGTTTTTGGAGTCAGAGTCAGAGTCAGAGAAGAGTTCTTCCGTTCCGCATTCATTCGACTCAACTTAGTAAACCTTCAAAATGTTTCGAAATTCACAACACAGTAACATGTATTCATATCATCATCCCTGAGTTGACAGGTTTTTTCTCAGGGGAGGAGATTGTTAATTGATTTGATTGATGGAGGCGCCAAACTGGCGGCCGCACCCCTTGAACAAGAGACAGAGTGAAGCTGTTACAGTCTCCCTATTTTTTCTGCCAGCCGTGCCCTCCACCACCCCTACCCATGGGCATTTTGTACTCTCTCCAGTTTTGCTCGCATCAAGTGACCAAGATGACGGCCCGTCAAGCTCAACGATCGACATCTACGATCTCACGGAAAAATAGGGGACTGTGAACAGTCTACTGTTTCCTGTTTAGTTGTGGCTGACTTGTACAAATTGCACATATGTAGAAATGCTGACAGTTTGGAATGGAACACTTCGTAGCCCACAATGCTTGTATCATGCAAAAACAGGAAACAACTTACATCATGTAACATTGTTGATGCTACAATATTGTAAAACATGTTTCAAAATCCTTTGTCAGTTTTCACTTTGTACTTGACAGTCGTAAGCAGGTTCTAGGCTTGATGTATACAAAACAATTTGCCATATACTTACTGTAAGCAGTGTTCCCTCCCCAATCATATATTAGAGAAATATCATACTTTTCATTCAAGTTGATTTGAAGAGGTGATCACATCCCAGCACTGGGAGAGAAGTCATTTCTGTGTGATTTGTTACTTCAGAACACAATAAACTTCTAGTTTGAGTTAATTGAATAAGAAACTTAACGTATATTCCTCTTTTATTTTCCTTTAGTATCCGTTGTATGGTGGTGTGCTATTTGGAATATGTTGGTGTCTTTTGGTGTCCACCAGTCGACTCTACGTGGGTATGCACACACTTCAGGTATGCTCACTTTTAATTTCATCTGTCATGCTCATCTGTAGCACCATCTTGTTTAAGTATTTGAGGTGATCTTGCAACTGCTGTTGTTTCCATCCCAAAGACTTGGAATCTTGCGAAAAATGATGTAGCAATGGCTACGTCATTATGATTTAAGACTGATTTTAGGATACATTTGTTAAAACTTGCAAATATGACCCTCTCTGTTGTCAAGAAACCACTCATCATTGCTGCAAGTGATTAAACTTTGCATAACCAAGAGGTACCATGTATGTTGGACATTTTCCACATTTTGAACCCACTTAAATGTGCAATGCATATACATGCACAAAGAAAGTTTTGTCCCTTAGCCTGGGACTAGTGGATTTTGCTGTTGGGCTAGTCAGTTCTTTCCTTAATTACTTGCTGAAGAGCAGCATGTGAATTTTTTTTTTTNAGTTCAAACTATTGTTTTGATTTAAATCTTGAATTAAATAGTCCTTGAATAAAATTAACCTGTAGGTGGAACATATTTTCATTTGAATGGTTTCGCATGAAGACTCGTTTTGGCACAGAGGCAAAAGGCAACTTGGAAATGGCCTGTTGATTGGTATCTTTGTCAAGTTTATCTCAAATGTAGTACTGTTTAATTTAATTTTGCAGGACCTTCTCGCTGGAGTTGCCTTTGCAGTTGTTCTACTTGTTACTGTTCTTCCTCTTTTGGACACTGCTGTTGATAGATGGGTGTTCACCTCTCCAAACACTCCGATATTCATAGTCATTGTGCCATTAGCCTTGATAATCCTGTACCCCTCGCCGCCAAAGTACACCCAGACAAAGAAAGACACTGCCACGATACTGTTTGGTACATGTGGTGCATTGCTTGGTTCTTGGTTAAGGTTCTACATGTACGGGTTCCCAGACCCGTATTTAGGGGCACCATACTCAATCCGTATTCCTGGACAGAAAAAAATCATTCAAATGCTGTGTAAGTTTGTGTTTGGCATCACAGTGATAGTGCCTATTCGTGCAGTCATGAAATCTACCGTTCACACCGTTCTGCCTTGGCTTCTCTCAGAGACTGATCCAAAGAACAAGAAAGCTCTTTGTGAATTGCCGCACTGTTTCTTTACATATACGGTTGTTGGCTTCACAGCAACATTTCTTATTCCACAGGCATTTATTTACTTTGATGTGTGACTTTTAATTCATTAGTGATAGTAGCTGCTTTTTGTAAGCAATTGATGGACGCGGCTGACATGTTTACATTCTTGTTGCCACCCTATTCAGATCATGCGATGATTCATTCGGGAGGTTACAATTGTTCCGTTTATACATACTCTCATGTAATCAACTGGGTATGGCAAATTGTGCAATATTATTGTAACCTTCCAAATGAATCATCGCATGGTCTGAATTGGATGGCAACAAAGGTGTAATCACGTTAGCTGAATCCATACATGGAAGTATCAGTGAACTTAAAGCACAAGCATAAAGACCTTAAGCATTGACAGAAACAATTCACAAGCTGTACAAAATGTATCTAGACTCATGCATTGTTATTAAATTTAAACTGTTTATAATAAATAAATACACAGCGGCAAATAAAACATTGTAAGTTTTTTTGGAAGAAGTGTTAAGTTTGTACAAAACCAGCCAATGTGGTCTACAATAAGGCGATCTCTGCTGATGTTATTGCTAACATTTTGACTTTTCTGTGGTTAAGGCATCAAGGTAGATATGAATTGACCTCGCACAGTTAAAGAGCTTGTGAATGGTACATGGTGAAAATTTTAGCTCTTTGGGTGTAATTTTGAAGGAATTATTGGCTTTCAAAATCTGCAAAATTTCTGGATGACAAAAGCGCTAATGAGCCCATACATTCTTAGTTTGTAAAGTTTCAAGTTTTTTAAACCCGTATTGCACAAAAGGTATTTGATATATCATTCTAAATTTTGTCAGAATACTTAATCATACCATGACCTTTCAGTATTCAGAACTGATATTTTTGTAACTTGATCAGAAAGTGAATTGCTTGTGTTAATGATAAGGAATGTATTTGGACATCAAGACTGAGTTTACTTATTTGCATTATGAAATTTAACACCGAACCGACCATTCAGAATTGGGTTATGTTACCAAGATTTTATAATTAGTAATAATTTGTAAGGACCTTTACTAGACAAAAAAGAAATTCAAAGTTGTCTCAGCAAGTTGTGCTAATATTAAAACAAAACAGAATAACATAAGCCATATAACAACAAGTTTGGTGAAAACAAATTAAATGGTTTTTGTTATAGCGAAATTAGTGACCTTCAAGTTGCTGACAGGATAAGTTTGTGTCAAATTATATTTCTCTGGTTGTATATTTATTTTAGAGCAATATTTTTACTAGCCATGTTGGTTACCTAAACTTAAGTAAGAAGTTAGGTCATTATAAAGTGATATCAAATTTTGTTATTGAATTGCTATTGGGTGCAAAGCTCTCAGGAAGAACGTGTTTTAAATTAAATCGGATTCTGTTGATAGAAATGATTAAAGATTGTACAGTTCAACCCCTATTAAACGGTCACCCTTGGGGAAATGTACAGTGGCCGCTTAAAAGGGGGCTGGCTGCTTAATAGAGGTAAGAACAATAGAAAAAACCTCATCGGGACTTTGATTACAGACTGCCTAATAAGGGTGGCTGTTTAATAGGTGGCCGCTTAATAGGGCTTTGACTGTACTTATTTCTGGTCGTGGAAGGCTGTATTGTAAATGTATTGGAACGCCAGTCCAGAAGCAGCAGTTATTGGCCATCTCAGCGAGATCTCGGCCAAAATTAAATTGCAACACCTGCCCATGTGATGTCCTTTATGTTCTTGAGGGTATAAACTTCACAAAAGGCATGTAGAAAGGTAGTTTACTGCACCTTTCAATAACACAAACTCTGCTCAATACACTGATGTGTTTTGTGCTGTCATTAATCATGTTAGTGCACATTTCAGGAAACAAGTTCATTTCACCAGGTGGGTTCAAGAGGTGACATCCATGCATTGTTGTGAGAGCTTTTCACCCATCTGGTTTGCTACAAGTTTTGAGGTTTGTTAATTGCCAAATTACATCCATGAAGACACAACATTAGTTAAGATTTTGAACTTTTGAGTTTGTGTGCTATTGAAAGATGCAGTGGGAGTATTTTAGGAAACGAAATTATGTTATGGAATAGGGTAAATTATCCTTTGGGAATTTTATTTTCTTGAATCTGCAACAACTTGCAAAATTAAGACGGGGTTAGCCATGGTAAAGTTTGATGGGGCTGAACAATGAATACTAACAATATTTAAGTAATGAACTGCATAA